TCCCATGAAACTGAATTTTAACTCCTAGAATCACCCTGAAGGTACATCATATCAAACCACTTTTGCTTCCATGTCTGAGTGTCAAGCTGAATTTATGTGACTGAAATAGTTCTTAGCTCCATGATTAACAGCATCTCTAGTAATAAGATTAACAGCATTTCTGTGCCATAAATAATAATAATAATAATATAATGATTAAAGGTTCTACATTACTGTAAGTCCTCACTGAACGTCATCAGTAGGTTCTTGGAAACTGTGACTTTATGTGAAACGATAAATAACCAAAACCAATTTTACCGTAGACTAATGGATATAAACAAGAGTTAAGTTCCTATGGCATATTTCCAGTCACAAAAACATCATCAAACTTCTAAATAAAGGCCCCAAAACTTCTAATGCTAAGCAATGAAATAAATGTGAGCTATATATACATTTAAGTAAGATTAGTTTTTTAAAAAATAAGATAATTATTGACACAATTATTCTACTTCAGGTTTATGGGTGGTCAGGGCCTCTATCAGCAGCATGAGACTGGAATATCCCTGCACAGAACACCATTCCATTGTAGGGAGCACTCACGTATACCCACACTCACCCCAACTGGACAATTTAGACACACCAATGAAGCTAACGTGCATGTCTTTGGCATGTGAGAGGAAATCACAGAGAAAACCGATGCAGACACGATGAAAACATGCAAACTCCATACAGACAATAGCCCCAGCTGGGGATCAATTTTATAATGAAATAGCATTATTGGGGAACTGTTGAACTCTCCATGAGCATCAACTGGTGAAATATATTACATTTGTTAATATAAATGTGAGCAGCACTACAAATAAAAGCCTCAAGGTAAAGTAGCTGATGTAGCCATTTAGAGTTTTTCTCTCACAGTAAGTGAGCCAGATTTGCATTAATCTGAAATCTGACCTTATCATCTACAGCATGCATTTGAGCTGCAGTTGTTTGTACTGTTGTAAAATACCAGAAACAAACTGGTTGCTCTGCTTATAATTAAGATTATAGAAAGTTGCAAGAGACCATCACTTCCATCCTAACAATCAATGCAAGCTAGGTAAGCTATAGAGCCATGGTATTGAAAAACCCACCTGAGGATGCAAAGAAACTTAAACTAAATTCCAAAACATCACGAGTCCTTCATAGAATAAAAGAGACCCGTAGCTGCTTCGTTCCCAGCAAAGCAGCAGGTGAAAGACACATCCGCTATAGGTGGAGGTAGGGAGAAATAAGTCAAAGCTTTAATGAATTTTTAATGGCAGCATGTGACTAGGGTGACAGATTAGAATTCAGAGGAGCCCGCCTCCACTGAACTTTCTCATGGTCTTTGCCAAGTTCATAAGTAATACATGAAAGACTGGAGGTCGAACAGGAAAGCTGAGAGAAATCCCTCTTAGACACAAGGAGCCTTCTCCAAGTGCAAGAAAGCTACTTTATTTAGATGGAAGCAGAGCTGAGAGACACCCCTCTGAGGCATCCAGCCACTTCTGAAAAGGTGCAGGTGTTTGTACTCTGAAGGTTGGGTTGGGAGCAGAGAAGTTGGGCAAAGGAAACCTCTCCCACGTCTCAGGAAGCCAGGACATAAAACAAGTTAAAGCACTCTATGGGACTTTCTGGGATAATGGAAATGTTCTATATCTTGCTTAGATGATGGTTATATGGAGTATACAACCATACACTATAATGACACTTCAAAATTACGTGTCTTAAGGTGTGCCTCAATTAAAAAATAAAATAAAACAAAAAGACATCTGATGTGAAAAACAAGCACCAACTTTCAATCACCTCCTCAGATGAGGCTGACATTAGATTTAGAAAGCTTTTCTCCCTCCCTCTGAGAACTGGTACCTGGAAGCTAACAGAGCTTAATGCTTTTTGTTTAGAAACAGTGTGAATGAACTGTGGCTAATCTGAAAGGTTTACAGGAACCTTATAAAGAATTATAAAGAATTTTGTTTGCAGGTTGAAGGGATATGCCAAGCAAGAAATCTGCAGACAAACTGGCAAAAACGAGAAGAAATAAAGACATTACAATAAATGGAAATAATTAGAAACCTGTCTTTTTTATAAGCTATAAAATCTAGGATAATATCATTATCCTAGATTTCTAATCTCTGTTTAAATGTTCTTTAAATGCTCTTCCACACCTGTCTTCATGCTAATGAAGCTGAAGGGGAAAGGCCGGCCTTCCTCTGACAGGATGTTCTCAGGGCCTGTGAGAGGGAGCCTTGCTGGCCTGGGGGCTGCATGTCACTTTTCCTGTACCTTCTCTCATAATCTAATTAAGCCTGCAATGAAAAGAAGGAAATTAAGTCCTGATGACTGTATGTTCCGGGAAAGGTTCAGGGTAGCAGAACTAGCGAGCAAGGCCAAGAACACAGAGGACTTAGTAGCCTCTCAGGAGCTGGGGCTCACAATTTCTTCTCTCCACAAACCTTTGAGTTATGGAGGCAGCATGGCCTATTGAAATAATATGGATACCTAAACAGAATAATAACAGACTGAAAGATGATTGTGTGTCAGCCACTAGGCTAAGTCCTGCCTATCTAAAAGTTTTACACTATCTTTGTGGTAAGCACTATTATCATTGCCATGTAACAGATGAGAAACTGAGATTTCACAGCCTGTTAACCAGTGGAGCTCTGTCCTTGAAACCAGGCAATTCGACACGAGAACTCAACATCTGTAAGTCCTTTTACATGAACACTGTACTGCTTCCCTAAAGGATAGAAATAAGGCACATTCTAGGACTAAAACTCTGAATTCAAATCCTGGTTTTACTAAATGCTGGCAATACAGTCTTTAGCCTTCAGAAGCCTATATCCTTTGGAAGGGCGGCTGGTTTCTCTAAGCCTCTATCTCATCTATAAGACAGAGGTAACATCTAATAGATCACAAAGTTACAGTGAAAATTATAAACAATTAATGTAAAGGTAGATGCTCAATAAATGGTAGTTATTGATTATTGATAACAAGTCATATTACCTCTTTAATACTAATTTCTGAATAATTTACCTGAATAATTTGTATACTCCACACAAAGTATATATAATGGTATTGATATGGATGGAAGAGGAGAGATGAAGACTAAACTAAAAGTTGTTCTTCATGATTACACACACACACAGACACACACACATTTTTTTTCTAACTTCTTTCTCTAGAGGTGCTAAACATTGCACCTTAATATTTTAACTAAGGTATGCACTTGACACACTCATGAGGGGACTGTTGCCTGGAGTATGGGGCATCTAAAGGAACTAAAATAATAAACATTTCAATTTGTAAACACTGAAGCATCATGGTGTACTAAGAATAACGCAGGTCTTGAAATCACCCAGTCTCTGATGCAAATCTTTGCTATACTAATTTATTGCTAAGTGACTTAGGGCAAGAAACACTATTTACCTTCTGGAGCATTGTCTCATGTATAAAATAGAGATAATAATGCCTGGTAGTTTCTGTTGATGATTATATACATACTAAGTTTTATAATGATGATACTATGTGTAAAACACTTGGTCTCTAGTAGACTATCTACAAATGGTAGCTAAATTATTATCATTATTATGCATCTATATCCTCTAGCATAACCATATCAGAAATCAACCAGAAATTCCATTTGTTTTCCATGAATCCTATGATGACATTTTATTATCATTATATATCAGTTACTAGAGTTTCTTCCATTTTATTATCATTATATATCAGTTACTAGAGTTTCTTCCATGGCTTGCCCAAAGATGGTGCTTAAAAGCTTATCAATTTTAAAACTTTCTTTGATTAGTTGCAAAAAGAATTCAGTTAGGATTCAATATTTTAAGTAAGTGAAATGCTTTATTAATTTTTATTGCAAATTAATTTTTTTATTAGTTAGGTTTTTTACCATAATAAGAATTTTACTTAAAAATCTTTAAAATCTGGAAGGAGGTCATTTTCCTTGTATTTTAGGCAAATCCTTCTAGACAATAGGTTTGCTGGCTGAAAGACTTAACACTGCACTCTTTTCTGTGTTCATGTGGTAATACACACACACACACACACACCTTTTCAATATCAAATATGGAGGAAATAGAGAGATAAGGTTTGAAGAAAGATAACATTCTAGCAGTAAAAAAAAAGATGTCAAGAGAGCCTGAGAATATGAAAATAAGAGAGAAACAGGGTCATATGAGAGTTGCCCGGAAAGATACAAAACATCATCTTGAAAGGGGTGCTGTGAGCACTCACTCCATATCTGTAGAGATGTTCAGGTCTCCTGAGAGATGGGCACTCTACCAATGCAAGGTATTATGGCTTCTGTCTTTATAACTGAAAGATTGATATTCTTTGGTAAGATTCCATATTCAGCATAGAAGGAACACAATTGGAAGTCTGAAATAGCACTTTGCCCTTTTTTTCCAACACAAAAGACTCCTTCCAGTGTGCAACCTTTCATGCAAAACAGCTTGTTTTTAAAGCTTAGTTCCAGTCCCCCAAAGATCCTTGGTTACAAGCCATGGGAAAGGATATCATGTGACAGAGGCACAGTCCTTTCTAAGTGACAGGGGAAATGTCCTGCTACAATCACCCTTAGTGAAGAGAACACAGCACCATTTGGTTAGTCAGAAGAATTCTTAACCATACTAAAAACAGAGAGAGAATACTGTGCTCTCATTTTTCAACTTCTTACATTTTCCCTTGTGAAAATATTTCAAGGTCACAATTAATGGGATGTAGCAGTTAAATTCCTAAGAAGACTTAAAAAGTGTAAAGTGTGTTACAGAGGGAAATACTGGCACTTTTTTTTAAGGGAAAAAAATCTGACTAGAACAAAAGAAAGTGGCTTTTTTTCCTGTTTTACCCACAATCAATGATTTTTAAATACGTATTCATGCCAGGATTGCTAAATGGTAGGACACATCATATTATGAATATTACAAATGGAGTATAAAATATACAGTTAGAATGCAGGTGGTTTTAAAATACTTTAAGTCACTTACCATGTCAGTAGAAGAAATAGTTGGTAAATCCGCTGGGGCCAGAGTGGTGTCATTAGATACTGAGATATTAACTGTAAACAAAAGACAATTTTTGACTATAAAGATAAAATAGAAACAACCTCAATGCATTATTATGTATTTTAAAAAGCAGGGTTAGGCATTAAAATGCCTTCAATAACAACATAAGGTCACAATAAATTTTCATTTATTATAACATTTTCATTTATATTACCTTTCACCTAGATAAAGTAATCAAAGATTTGGACACATCTGTTGTACTCTCTAATCTGATATGAAACAATGGCATATATTTAAGGAGATGGTGTTAAAATTTGTTCTAGGTTTCAAAACAAAATTAGAATATCCCTGTTACTAAAGAATACTATAAGAAAGAGATTGGGCTGGGCACGGTGACTCAAGTCTGTAATCCCAGCACTTTGGGAGGCTGAGGCAAGAGGATTGCCTGAGTCCAGGAGTTTAAGACCAGCCTGGAAGAGTTGTTGAGACCTTGTCTCTACAATAAATCAAAAACTTTGCCAGGCATGGTGGCGCATGCCTGTAGTTCCAGTTACTTGGAAGGCTGAGGCAGAACAATTGCCTGAGCCCAGCAGGTTAAGGCTGTGGTGGCCGTTGAGTGTGCCACTGGATTCCAGCCTGGGTGACAGAGTGAGACTGACACGAAAGAGATTGGTAGTAGCAGGATACTGATGGGTTGGGAGTGGGGGCACAACATCAATAAGGGTACCTGATCTCAAACCAGGCAAAGTGGGGACCAAAGGGAGGCTCACACTTCACCTGTATGATATCTACTTGTATACCTAATCTTGAATTGTACTCCACATCTTTAAAATAAAATATATATTTAAAAAAATTAAAAAGAACATTCAATATATTTTACCTAGTAGAAGAAATGACTACCAATAATTTTGATCACTGGCTTCATACATAGTAAAATCTCACAAATTGTAGCTTTGCTAATTAAGAATTAATTAATTTATAACTTTTGGAAATTTGAACTGCATATGAGAAAATATATCTTTAGAAAATATGTGAAAACAAAAAAGCACTAAATAAATAATATAATGGGGATGAATATTTAATCTAATTTTTAAAATTATTCTCATGCAATTTGGCACTGTTTTAGGTTTAAGATGTCACTTGCAAAGAAACCTAATTTATTTATTCACTAACCTTTCTCATGGAAATGTTTCATTAGTATTAAATTTTATGGGTCTGAAAATTAAATCATAGTATTTACAAAGTATTCTAAAATTAAAACATTTTTTTCTTTATCAGGTAAGTTTTTTTCCTATTTTGGAAAGCTTTAAGTATTATAAAACAAACTGTTACCCCGAGAACATCCTTAATTTATAAAAATATTGTGAAATAATACTTAGCAGGTTTTTCTTTGGGGATCACATAGTTCATTTAACTTCTAAATTGCTAACTTAGCAATTGTTTGGTCCTCACTGCCTCACCTCTAACCTCCAGCCTGTCTTTTTAGTTTGTCATGTTTCAGGTCCTGCCTACGTAAACCTTTAAGGAAAAGCACAGATGTATTTCATGGCTGAAACTTAGAATATGAGATCTATGAGAGAAGAAAAGAAGGAGCATGTCCTGTTCACTACTTTTCCCTAGAGTCTGTGCAGTCTGGCTCTTAACTAATAGGAACTCAAAAATATTTGTTTATTATCCATAAAGGAAGTTTAAAAAGTGGGCATTTCATAATTAGCTGACTGAAAGCAGATAAAGGGGAAAAAGAGAGAGAGAGAGAAAAAAGGAAAATAAATGAAAGGAAAGAAAATATTTAGTTTGGGTCCTAGCTTTGCCTAATCCATTCTGATATTTGAAAGTTCTGGATTGTAAAACGAGTAACCTAAAGCTCTGCTGTCAGGACTTCCCTATTTTAGCAGCAAAACAAGTACATGTGTGTGCTGTATGTTTTCTTTTTCTCTCAGCTTCATCGCAGATCACAAAGAGAATCAAAATAGACTAAAGGATGCTTGGTTCAAACAATTAAATTAAACAAGAATCTATTTCTCCAAGGAAAGAGATGTTAGTAAATTATTATTAACAAACATAGGTTTATATTACTACTTAGTTCTAAAAAGTTTACAGTACATTTTCTTACATTATTGTATTTGTTCATTTAAAAATATCCTAAAGCACATAATAAACTTTTGTATCCATCTTATTTTATTTGTTTGTTTGTTTATTTCTGAGTTGAGGTCTCACTCTGTTGCCCAGGCTGGAGTACAATGATGTGATCATGGTTTGACCCAACCTCTTGGGCTCAAATGATCCTTCTGCATCAGCCCCCCGAGTAGCTGGGATTATAGGAATGCACTACCATGCCTGGCTAATTTTTTTATATTTTTGTAGAGACAAGATCTTGTTATGTTGCCCAGGCCGATACCCATTTACATTGAATGGGGACTCTGAAGCAAGTTATGCCAGGCTATGTGCCCAGGATTATAGAGTCAATCAGAAAAGAGCTGGTACTAAGACCTCATTCTCATTCTTTCATCTCCTACCCAGCATTTCTAATCATTACATTCAAGATGATTTATGTGGCCACAGAATTCAAGGTGGGACAGTGCTCGCCCATGGTAGATAGTAGATCTAGCTATTAAAGCTAGATGCTTTAATGCAATTTTATGAGTTTCCTGTCACAAGAGATCAAAGGTCTTTTTGCAACATATTTTTCTGCATAAAAACAAGGAGCAAGGAGGGAGGGGGAAAGATATTCAAGACTCCGTGTGTGTGTGTGTGTGTGTGTGTGTGTGTGTGTGTGTGTGTGAGTGAGTGTGAGAGAGAGAGAGAAAGGAATAATAAAGGCCAGGAGTGTACTAAAAAGGATTCCAATCTGAACTTTTAGTAACTGCTCCCAAGCTTTGGCTACAAATCAATTCTGCTCATTTAAATTCTTTTTAGCTTTTCAGTTTTTTACTGAGACGAGCTATTAAAGTACATTGGCTCTCCAAATCCCAAAAGATCAGCATGAGAGGAACAGCAAAAAGAATATATTTTGCCTACTTACTTTAATAAGCAACTGCTTCAGTAGAAAACTTCAAAATAAATGTATTAAAAAAGGACATTCATAAATACATATTGGCAGGGTATGGTAGAGTCCATAAATAAAATTAAAAGTAAATTTATTCAGGCTCATAGAAGAGAAAATGATACATTCCAATTGGGAGCTCAATCTACAAGAGCCATTGGTCAAGAGCCATTTGGATCCAGGTGCAAATATTTCAGTAACCAATTGCAGAATGATCTGTTTATATGGAATCTGCAATATCCTTGATTAGGATTCCAGAAAGGTCAAATGGAAAAACCAAAATGTACTGCACTCTCTCTTCACCATGTACCTAGCATCAAGGCTTATAAAGCAAAGAAACTCTTTGCCCTGGGAATCTGGCTAATTTAGATTTAGTCAATTATCACTGGGACCACCTCTGTCCCATACTGGGTTTCAGGGAGTTTCCACAGATTAATTGTTTATCATTACTCGGTTTTTCACTTCTTGTTCCTCCATGTATCAAAATTTAGCTGATCCGCTGGAATGGGGGAAAGCATATTGTCAGTAACAAACCTTTAAAAATGTGTCTGTGACTTTTCCATCTAAAGCTGGCTTTTTCTTCTTTATGTTTAACGAGAGAACTAGAAAAAGAACAAGGGAATCAAGTGTGGCTGCTCCTGTGGGAGCTACGAGTAGAAAAAGAGGATGACATCCACGTGTCAGTGTTGGCGCATCCACGTGTCAGTATGCAGTATCAGTCTTGCATAGAGAATATCAGTAACACCACTAAAGGTTGTCCCTCTTTATTCTCTAGTGACCTGACACCAGGAACTACCCCATGGCTTCTCTTCTCCATACATTAGCAGGAATACGTACAAGCTCACTTGGGATGAGGAACAATTGGTTACTGAAGGCAAATCTGTCTGCTTTGATGTGTCACCATGACACAATGTAGAGAAGGGAGTAGTAAGAGCCCTGGGCTAGATGTCCAGCTCTAGCACCTTCTAAGCACAGTTGTTCTCAAATTCCCTCACCACATAACCTTGAGGAAGTTACTTCACTTTTCTTGACTACAGGACCCTCATTTGTGAAACTAGATTTAAAACCATCCACCTCATAAGTTTACAGTGCAGATTAAATAACACAATTTAAGCAAAATTGTTAGCACTGGAGTACCAGGAAAGATCTAAATGAATGGTAACTACAATTACGACTAGCTCTATGACCTGGAGAAAGCAGAACTCGCCCCTAGGGACAAATGTCAGCTACCTCTCATGATTTGTGTAATAATCAAAAATACATATATTTTATCATTAAAATATAGTTTGTTAAAATCCTCTAGTAAAATATCTGGCATCTGGATGGTGCTTAATAAATATCAGCCAAATCTGAATCAGGATCCTCAACATGGCTTCTAAGGGTTACAATAATATGAAATGAATTAACCTGATGTGAACAAGAAAAACATTAAAACTAATGATAATTAAACTTTAACGTTTTATTCCATTCTATTTAAGCAACATCTTGAAGACATTGAGTAATTGGAAAATAAATATAGAATAAATTTGAATAAGCTACTTGCTACATGGTCATGGAGCTTTATTTAAGGTTCTTAGATAACGAGGACATTGGTGCCTCTTGCTAAAGTCAATTATTTATTTATGCTTTACATTTGTAGGTCAATTAAGGGCAAAATGGCTTTTGTAGGGATGACACAGTGAATTAGAAAAACTCTGGAAGAAGTAGCTCTTAGGGAAATTACTTGCCACTATCTCAGCTTTAAGTCTTAAAACAAACAAAAAAATAATGTTTTTCTTTGTTTTCTCATTATTGTCCTTTTAGTTCTCCTGAGTTTTTTTTTTAACCAGCCTAACACTTGAGACTTTCACTATAAGTAGGCAAGTTCAAGCTATATACCCTTCAGTTCACAGGTACTCTTTTCACAAGTTCATCTACAATGCTGTTCTAGAAGTTAAAGAGCTAAGCTATTTTCACAAAAACTTATCTTCCATATCCACCCATAATTATATTTTAGATGTCCTCTAGACA